TCCCTACAGTATTGTTTCTCAAACACTTCAATGACTTCCACTGCCCACCAGAGAAAAGTCCATACTCCTTTAGCCTAATACTCAACCATCAATATGACTCCAACTTATTTTTCTCAATTTATTTCTTGCTTTTATCCTTAGCACAATCTCAGTACACATTACCAACCCGTTATCTGAAAGCCAATGAAGTTTAGTGGAAAGCGTTTGAGTACTGGAATCAATCAGACTTGGACTACACTGCCAGGTCTTTTCATCAGTTTGGTGGCTTTGGTTAAGTTAAACTTTCTGAGTTTCCACTACCTGTGATCTGGAGGCTACTGAATAGACCCAATATTTACAAAATATTTGTAAATGCATCTAGTATAGCATTTGGCACACAACAGGCATACTTCTAAGTGTACATTCCATGTCTCTATTTCTCTTCTATCCCAAACTTTCTCCTCCCACCTTCTCTATAAAACCAATCCATGTTATTGGTTTCCTCTAAAATGCTTTTCTTCATTCTTTTTCCTACTTGGCAATCACCTCTCAACTCATTATTTATACCTTCCTTAACAAATACTTAAAACTTCACACATAGTTATTTAGATGATTCTTCTCTCTCCTACTAGAGTTGAAACAGCAGAGGCTTAAGGGGCTTATCCAGCCAGTAAAGGGTAAAACCCTAGTAGAAGACCAAGTACCAGTTACTAACAGTGCTCTATGGACTACTTACATCAAAGAAAAAACATCTTTCATATGGTATCAAACTAACAAGTAACCGGACCAGCAGTTGGCATAATGGCTATGTCACTGGACTCCCAGGTAGTTGACAGCGGTTCGCGTCCTGGGCCCGATGGCTTGAAACTCATGCCGGGCACATATAAACTCTCACCGGGTGCATGTGCATGTGTGCCCAAGATCCCAAGAGGAGAATGGAGAAGTGATTGCGGCGTGGCCAGCCCCCTGGAGGGTGATTTCTCACTTTCTATCTCTCTGTCTCTCTCTGGCGAGCACACACACCCTACAGCAAAAACCTCTCAAAAAAAAAAAAAAAAACTATAAAGTAACTAATGAAGGCAAGAAAAATCATTCATTTTAATCAGAGACTATATATTCAATGACAATGGAACTAATTCCAATCTGGATGATGTGAACAATCTCAGATGACTCCATCATGCTGAAAAGGCAAAGATGCATCATTTCAAAATAAACTGAATTCCAGCCAGAACGCAAGTTATTTGAAGATAGCAATCATGTTTGTCTCACTATGTATCTCCATATACTAGGAGTGTTTTGCACAAAGGTGCTCAATAAACACCTGGTGAAACTGATAATGAACACTGGGAAATACGCATGCTGTTCAAAAGTACAAGTTTACATTAAAGAAATTTTCAGCAGGAAAATGATGACATTAGCCTATTTTAGGAAGTGGAGTTTTGTTTTTGTTTTTCTAATAGGGTAGACCATATGAAGTGATAAAAGACTCAAAGGAGACAAAGAAAGTCTGGGTAGAGAAGGGAGCACAGATTAAAAAAAAAAAAAAATCAGAATGCCTAAAGGTGTCTTCCTGAATCCTTTCCCTCTCTAGACTCAAGATCATCAGGGACAGCAATGGCATGGTGGTTAAGGCACTGGACTTCTAAATGGCTGACCCAGATCTAGCAGCTTGCTTTCTCACTTTTCCTTGCTTTCTCACTTTTCCCTTCTGTCTCTCTCTGGTCAAATAAAAAATATATAGTGAATAAAATTATTCTTTTCAAAAAACAAATCATCTATTAATAGTTTTGACTAAAAAAACAGGTGAGAAGTTTTAAATATGTAGTTAAATGTAATTTTAAAGAGAGAAAAAAATAGATGAAGGCCAACCCAGTGTATTGGTTAAGGAAACCAGTTCCCTTAGGCCCAACTGTGGTTAGAACCCCAGCACCAGAAGTTTGAAAACCACACTGGCTACATGCATGCCAACACCCCTTCGGGTGCTGCTTTCTCTCTCTCTTTCTCTCTCTCTTGCACACGCACCCTCAGCAATTAAGAAAAAAAGTGGACAGAAAAAGTACAACAGATACTAAATTGTACTTCTAGTTTGTAAATCCTTAATTAAATAGCAGCTTTCAAATATTTTTAATACTAAATGTTCTATATTATAGCATTTAAGTTATTTAGGGGGAATATGAAATTCACCCAGCAGCTTTCAATGTTAAAGACTAATTCTCCCAAACCAGACTTGTGCCTTTCTTTGGAATAAGCAGTAACTTCTATTAATATATCCCAAGTAGAATATTTCCACACATTGGGACCAGCAGATGGCATAATGGTTATGTCGCTGGACTCCCACATAGTTTACTGCAGTTTGAGTCCGAGTCCCAGACCCGGAGGTGTAAAACACACTAAGGCAGGGGCATGTGTGTGCATGCCCAAAATGCTAAGAATGGAGAAGGGATTGTAGCATTGCCTTCCCCACTAGGGGGGGGGGAGGGGATGGAAGAGGTTCTCACTTTGTCTTTGTCCCTCCAATGAGCGCACACATCCTATACCAAAAACCAAAAAAAAAGAATATTTCCACATTTAGAAGAGACTAAATTTAAGCACCAAGAACACCCACAATGTATGTGCTAAACTGAAATTTCAGACTAATTCATATCCACTTTATAACTTTTCAAACTAATCTATCTGCCCAAAAAGCATACAACTATCAACTTTTTTTTTTTTTTGGAGAGGTTTTTGCAGTAGTGAGCATACACTCACCCGAGAGAGACAGACAGAAAGTGAGAAATCGCCTCCCCCCAGGGAGGATGGCCACACCGCAATCCCTTCTCCTCCATTCTCCTCAGGATCTTGGGCACGCACACACACACAAGCGCCCAGCTTATTTGTATGGGTGAGTATGCCAGCCAACTGCATGTGTATGATTAAGGGCTGGCTAGGGAGTTGATCAAGACCCTCTTGAGAGAGTGCCGTTTTCTTTCTCACTTGCTCATCAAAGAATAAAGCAAAACCTTAAAGCTGAATTATCAAGGTTAAAATATAAAGAACTAAATCTACATTTCAACTGAAAATTTAGATTTTTGGCATTAGCCACCACTGACCTAAAAGCAAACCTCTCCCAGAATACCCTTTCATGTCTATTTTTCTAAGTTCTCTCAAGAGCTTCTTGAGACAGTACTTATTAAGTCATTTAAAATTCAATTAAAGCAAGTTCTGCACTGAAAAACCTCTATTAACACACAAAATGTCATGTTGTAAATTTTAGGTAGAATAGACTATAAAAGAATACATGGCGTATTTATTGCTGTAAATTAACCCCAGACTTCAATATATAATCTCTTCAGAAAATAAGGGCAGGAAACTTGTTTTTAATGGAAACAAGTTATATATATTTTAGTCAAGTCTTCTTTATCAAAAAAAAATCTAAAATAAAATTGGGGGGACTGGATATACAGTAATTGAAATGTTAAGACTGTAGAACATCCAACACTTCCTTATAAGGCTCTATCAGATATCCTACAGAACTATCTGGACACCAATTTAACAAATGGCTTCAAACACAACCAGGATGCTCTATCTTCTGTTTTTTTTTCTTTTGATATGTTGTAAACTGCAGCACTGAACCCTGCAAAAAGAGTTCCAAATTACAAATACAATAAAAAATAAAAATATACTAATCAATTATGGTGTGCCTACATTATACAATGTCATACAGTTACAAGAAGAGCTGTGGTACAGGAAAACGTCTTTGATGTTAAAGTATATTTTTTATGCATGGAGCCAGCAAGTGGTGTAGTGGTTAAGACACTGGACTCCACTTGGCCAACCAAGGTGCAAGTCCCAGATCAGTGGCTTGAAAATCACATTGCCCAAAATCGCAAGGGAATGGAGAGGGGATTACAACATGGGGGGCATGGGTGGGCGTATTTCTCACTTTCCCTCTCTATCTCCTATGATAAAAGCATGTGCCCTTTGGCAAAAACCTAAAAATAAATTTATGCATACATATATTAAAAATGAAACTAGTTTTGTTCTAAAAGTTTTGAGATATATACACACACATATATATCCACCCATACAAGTAAGACCTAGAAGATAAACAAGCTAACTCTGGGTGCTAGGAATTCAAAAAAAAAGGAGGAGCAATCCCCTCCCTTCCCTGTTTTACAGTAAGATGCACAAGAGGCGTTCCTCAGGGCCAGTAGATTGAGCCTTGTGCCTGGGGAGCCAAATGCCACAAGGCCAGCTGCTTATAGTTCAGGCCCCAGCAGCTTTAAACACATGCCAGGCACATTTGCATGAGTACCCAGTATCCTGACAGGATAGAGAGATGAAGGAAAAGGGATTATGACATGATCATACCCCACTAGGGAGTGCTTTCTCTCTCTCCCTCTCTCTGACAAAGCCACATGCCCTCTGGCAATTAAAAAAGAAAAACTTCACAAAATTGGTTAAAAGATCCCTAGTTCTTGTTTTCAATAGCTATATGAGCTTAGGCAAATTACTCAAACTATCAACATAAGTCTGTAGTTAATAAGCAAAATAAATAGAATCTACTCAATAAATGAAATGAATACAAAATACTGATCATTGTGTAGGCACATAGCAAATAATAAATGGTACCTTCCCTATTCAAAGAGAATAAAATTCCTTAAGTGACAAATGATAAAAACTGGCAAAAATTCCTGC